AACAAAAAAAAAAAAAAAAACTTAATATAAGCTATACTTTTAAAATATTCAACTCCACAAAAGCCAGCAATCCATCATTACAATTTTTTTCCGATAAAGCAAATGGAAAAAAAAGGAGGAATTGTAACTCCTATAATAATAGGACAATGGTCGATAATGAAGAAGATGAACCAAATTAATATGTGGATCAATAAGTAAAAGAAAGAGATCACATAACCAATAGTTCTTCTCTAGAGCATCTCCAGCAAACTCCCTATCCTCTCATTCCTAGCTACTTTGGCTAAAAATAAGGAAAATTCTCCTTCCAACAGTCCCTACCTGGCTCTCTATTTTGGAGAATCAACTTTTGGCTCTCTACATCTAGCAAGGAGGAGAGAGAAATGGAGGCTCGCCAAATTGAAAAAAAAGAGAAAGAGAGAGAAAAAGGGGGAGAGAGATAGAGACATTTGGGAGGTTGGTGGAGTTGGGTTTATACTTTTCTTTTTAATATATTTGATTTGCAAGAGAAAGAGAAAGTAATAATAAAATATTTCAGATTAGCTAAAATATTTCAGTTCCATGTATGGTTTGGCTTGCAGGTTCTACCTATCAAACAGGTTAAATGAGAAAAGTGACGTTTATAGCTTTGGGGTTGTGCTGTTGGAGATTATCACAAGCAGACCGGTTTTAACAAGGACGCAAGAGAGACTTCACATAAGTCAATGGGTTGGTTTCATGCTTGCAAATGGAGACATTAACAGCATCGTCGATCCAAGGTTAGAGGGAAATTTCAATACCAACTCCGTCTGGAAAGCTGTGGAAATAGCAATGGCATGTGTATCCATAAATGCCATCAAGAGGCCAAGCATGAGCCAAGTAGTGGTGGATTTGAAGGAGTGTTTGGCAACAGAATGTGCTCGAACAAATCATAGCCGTGTAACTGAATTCAATAATTCCAATGAGTTCGTGGCTGACAATTCGATCGTTAGGCTATCTCCCTCCGTGAGGTAGTACTGGTACTAGTACATAATGCTTCTGCTGGAGTTCCATTGTGCCTTTGTAGCTAATCATGAAAAGAAGCATGAATTTGGGCTCTTGTTTTGGCTCTGTCCTATAGACTTCTAGTATTGATTTAAGTTCTTCTCATCACAGATGTTAGGCTTCATCTCCCAAGTTCCCCCCCGGGAAAAAAAAACACAAATCAGTGGAAATAAAAATGGAAGCCAATTAATTAGCAAACAACCAGACAATACAAAATTGTGAGAAGTAAAGTTGTTTTCTAACACCAACCAGTGATGTTATATTTGCCTCTTTTTCTCTGTTTTAAAGACCTCTGGTTTTTGGGGTGAAACCAAAAAAAAGTTGCTAGTGTCGTTCCAGCCAAATTGGCCACAGAAAAACCACATTGAAAGAAGGAGGAAGAAGAAAATTGGTGGAGAGCAGAGCCGGTTCATTTATTTTGAGCTATCAGATGAGAGGAAAAAGAAGAAAAGAACATAAAAAGGAGAGAAACAGAGAGGAGAGAAGGAAACAAGGAGGAGTATACTGGAAGCTTGGGAGCTGCAGCCCGCATGAGACATGGAGTAATGGGACTTACAAAAGGAATGCGATTTTCCTTATTTTAATCCTTGTGTCAGTCATGAATTTTGTTTTAACAAATCTTTTTTGTACGGTCTTGTTCCTTGGGTGATTAGACAAAAAACAATGTAATATGATTGGCTAAGTTGTGGGCTAATATTTATTTGTAGTGCATTTGTAAACACATTTAAGCCTAGGATGAAAATCAGCACTAGGCCAGGGCCCAGCCAAGCCCCTCTTTAGTTCCGCCCTTGGTTTTAACCGCAATGGTCCTTGTTTTATACCTGAATTTCATTTTGGTGCAATATTTTATTTTTTGTGGTTATGTAATGCAAAGATAAAGATAAAGATCCACTCAAACGAGCAACACACTCAAACAAGAAGAGACTGTAACAAGCAACACACTCAAACGAGTTGAAGCACAAAATCCAACAAGAAAACAGCAAAGATAAAGATCCGCACAGCAAGCTCTATAACTCCAGGAAGAGCAGAGAATACCCAAAATGACCAGGCCGATGGGCAGCCCACGGGGGCGAGTAGATCTAAACAGGAGCACCAAAATCAAAGCCAACACCGAGC